TAAATGCGAGTTTTCTTGTAAAAACAGGAACAAAACTACCGTACCAATCATGATTTTTATGCAATGAAATACACTTTTTACATGCATATTTTAATAAATGTATTCAAGGTCCCGTAAAAACACCCTGGGCCTATACTCGGGGATGCCCTCAACCTGTTAAATGTCTAAAACAGAGGGGTGGGTTTATATACGTATATACATGTATATATATATATATAGAGAGAGAGAGAGAGATATGGCCATTTTGTATGTCTAATATATGTGCCAAATTTAAATAAAATTCATTCATATAGATAGATGCTTATTCCAAACAAACAAAAAAGTAAGTCACCGGTCACTGGGGAACCTTGGTTAAGGTCCGCAGGTGCTCGTGTTCGCCTGAGCCTGGTTGATGCCAGGATAGCGCATTACAAATTGCCATTTGACAGAGAGATGGCCACACAGCCCTGTCATGTAGTCCCAAACATGAATATGACTTCTGTGGCAAAACAGCACTAGCACTTGCATTTGCACATACAGAAAAAAAAAAGTCAGGAGAGACAACAGTGACACTAAATGTCAGGAACTGTCGCCTGGCACAAAAAAAATATTTAAAAAAAAAAAAAAAATTAAGTCTTAACAACACACAAAATATATATAACAAAAATATACAAATGGAATAGAGGTCGAACATTTTGGAAATAGCAGAATTGCTTGATTTTGATGAATTTTCAGCACAAAAATTTGGCAATGTTTAATTGGATAATAAAATAGTTGGACATACTGTAGTTTGCTAAGTCTGAATGTAATCAGTCCAGGGATGTCTGAGATACAGGCAAAAACATACATTTTGCTAGTTGGCAAAATTTGATCACACCACAAAACAAAAATGGTAACTTATGAAATAGAGTTTGTGAACCAGCTTTGAGCATAACTGATCACTGCTGGCCAGAAAAACATTTTACTGGGCGTCAACAACATTTATTAAAATATGCAAGTAAAAAGTGCATTTCATTGCATGATAATCGTGATTGGTACGATAGTTTGGTTCCTGCTTCTACAAGAAAATTCGCATTAATTTCAGAGTGCATGGTCGGTTCAGACCTTTTCTATTCCATTATTTACTCACGATGAATTCTGATGTTGCAATACTGAAGTAATCCATATTCCTTTTGAGTAGTGGTTTTAGAAACGCCAAAAATGGTCATTGAACATCGTTTTACTTTCCCGAATAATCGTGTCCATTGAGACTTTCGTGAATGGGATGTGAACAAGCAAACTATATTCTTTGACATAACTTGATGGCGACCGTGAAACATTTAAACACTTCCTCCACCCTCAGTTTACTTTTCAAAAATTACGAACCAACAGCTTCAGGGAAAAAAAAAATCACCGTTTTTTTTGTCAAAATCAAATCACATTTTAACATCGTGGTAATTCACTTCCGCATTGCGTTGAAAAAACTACTTCGTTAATAATCGAAAAACTTCGTCTGTACGACACAGCATTTTGATTGGTTAACGAAAGGCATGACCTGTTATGTCAAAGGAAGTTGTTCAGGTCAAATCATGATGAAAAACACCATGGTGGAAATTGCTTTGTATCGAGAGTTTGCAAGCAATCGAAAACATTCCACAACGAAGATAATCATAAAGATCTTGCCTTTGACTGTTTTCTCACAGAACCTACCCATTATTTCACCGTAAATTCAAACAGTATGTAAATTGTATTGTAATAAATGTGTGTATTTTTATAAACATATTTGTTTCTTCATTGTAAAAAGTGTTGTGGAATTCAAAAATGACGTAACATTTCTCCGAGAATGGCGCTGTGAACGAAAAATGTAATTTGGATGATTTTTTGAGGTTTGGAAGAGGGTTACAATATTAAATCCCCCTAATAATTATCTTTTCTGAGGTGGTCCTCGAGTATAAGCCCACCCCCTAATTTTCCCGATTTTACATGTTCAGGCTTATACTCGGGGAATTATGGTAAGACCTGTTTTGATTGAAATCAGCCAGGTTATTTCCATGAACCAATTTTGCACAAGTTCAAGTATTACTTGGGTAAATTTATGACCAGGTCATGTGACATTTTGAAGGGCTTGCATTAAGCCTAAAATGGTGCAAAATACACAGATAAACACATTTCAATTACCATCTTTTAACAGCTCAATATTGTTTTATCATACAATATATGAACAATTGTGACGTAGTTTTGTATTGTGACAATACAATGTTTTGTCCTTAGTGTTATTTTACCCTGTGTTAGTATTACCTACCACACCTGATGTGATATCAGTCTATGCAAATTTTGTTCTGAGGCCATGGATAATTTTTACCGCTTATTTTTATTTCGTTTTATTAAGTTCACAGAGCACCTGTTTTAATGAACTCTTGAAAACAATTTCATTTATACATGCAAGTAAGATCAGGTTATTCAGGGTTTTCATTTTCTCACTAACCTTATAAGATTCCGGAGCTATATTGCCCAGTATTGTTGTTATGGGATGATTTTTATTTTTTTCCTGTTTACTGCTAGGAGTCAATTGAATAGTATCATCATCAGCTGCATCAATGTCCAAGGTGATCACATCCTGTAAAAGAAAATATAGCAATCCTAAGAGTGGCGCCCTATTACTGATGAGCTACCTTCTCTAGTGACAAGCTGCTTTTGTGAAATCAATAGCTGAGTCTGGTTGTGTACATAATCTTATTGATAGTTGACTACAAATTATGATACTGACACTTTGATATTATGATACTGACACTTTGATATTATGATATTGACACTTTGATATTATGATATTGACACTTTGATATTATGATATTGACACTTTGATATTATGATATTGACACTTTGATATTATGATATTGACACTTTGATATTATGATATTGACACTTTGATATTATGATATTGACACTTTGATATTATGATATTGACACTTTGATATTATGATACTGACACTTTGATATTACGATACTGACACTTTGATATTACGATACTGACACTTTGATATTACGATACTGACACTTTGATATTATGATACTGACACTTTGATATTATGATACTGACACTTTGATATTACGATACTGACACTTTGATATTATGATACTGACACTTTGATATTATGATACTGACACTTTGATATTATGATACTGACACTTTGATATTATGATACTGACACTTTGATATTATGATATTGACACTTTGATATTATGATATTGACACTTTGATATTATGATATTGACACTTTGATATTATGATATTGACACTTTGATATTATGATATTGACACTTTGATATTATGATATTGACACTTTGATATTATGATATTGACACTTTG